TCATTGTGACTAGAATGACAAAAATCCAACTCGAAGCGAAAATTGGTAAAACAAAAATAAGTAAAAGTCAGATTGACCACAAAAGTCGAGGGAAAACCAGACGAGCACGAAGGGGCAAGAGTGTATGATGGGGTGATCTTGCTAATGCATTATACACTCTTCGTCGTTAGCGAATGAGGAGCATGCGGGAAATCCGTAGATCCATGGCAATAATAAAATGCGTACAGCGTCCCTGGAGTAGTTTTGGAGTTTATACAGTAAAGACTTCATACCTTCTGAGCATAGTCAACCGTAGCATATTCCGACGCTTGAGGCTATCAGAGAGAGCTGTGATATTTGGCCGAGAATATTTATTAGTATACTGTTTATATGATAGCGACTGAGCCATGCACTAATCCATGTTGAAGGATCTACCATCTGTAGGCAGCACAGAACAAGCAGAAGGTTCGAAAGATCAAGACCTGTGAATGTTAGTGCCGTTGTAGTGGGGTCCCGTAATCTTCAACAGTTAACATAGCCCGTGAAGAGATTTCCAACTACTTAGATCTGTTTAGTCGGAGGGCCCGCCGTCGAGGTTTTGGTTGGATTGACTGACCTTAATTTTCTTGTTGAAATTCGTCAACCTGTGATGATTATTGTTGGGATTATGTTTCCAGATTCAACGTGACCGTCAAGTCATTGAGATGGAGTTGTTCAGCGAAAGAATCTGATTTAGGAATGCCTGGAAAAGGTACGCGTCCTGGGGGTTGATAGTGGGATTTGAGAGTATTGTGCAATTGCGAAGTGGTGCCCTGGCGGTAAGCATGGGGTAAGGAAGTGCGCAATAACCAACCGCGGCTTCCATTTGAATATCAGAATTCAATGAAAAAAAAAAGTCGACGCTGAAAGTTGCAAGTTGAACATCAAGTCGTGGAAGGAGCAGAAGGACAAGATACCGAATGAGGATTTGGTCCAGCTTTGTTCTTACTTGCCACTTCCTTCTAATATAGCAATCTTCAGGAGCAGAGAATCGAGCTGTGCGTCGAATGAGTTTGACCACACGCCAACACTACATGGAAAAGTAAACGATTCAGAGAGCGCATGAGTGAGTTTTTGTACTCCACACCATAAAGGATGAACTAGGTAAGAATTAATTTACTTACCCGGCGTAATTCGTCGCTACCGCCCTCAAAAAGAGATGTTTGCGCGTAGGGATAGTGTTCAAATGGTGGATAGGAAGACTTGTTCAGTGAAGATACATGAGAAATTAGTGCTTGAGAAGGAACGAGAGTCCCATGCGATGGAAGAGATGATCGCTGTGCAAGAGATAAAGAATATAATGAGAAACTATAAGCCTGAACGCGACTAATGTTGTGCGCTTGACATTGTTCACTTAATTTTGTTTATTGCTCGATGATAAGAGCGGCAGAGTATGATATAGATAGCGTTGAACTGTATATCCAGTCTCCGACCGAAAACCGCGTAATTCTCTCAAACCCTAACCCATCTACATCTTTCGCCTGGTGCGCATCTTCTACTTACCTTTGAGCACTTCAAAAGCTGGTCTTCTCTTGTGCTCTCAAATCTTTATTTTGCATATTCGTCATGAGGATTATCTTCATCTTCAACACACTCGTCCTGTCCGTTCTCGTCCTTTTCAGCAATCTCGCCGCGACAAGGCCTTGCCGTACGTCCTCGCTCGTTCATAACTCTGAGCTAGAAGATCGCGGAATGGCATATCCTTCTCCTCCTCCTCCTTCTTCTCTTCCTCCACCCAAAGTACCAGATGGAGCTATTTGCTTCTTTGCTCTAAATCATGTAATAATTTCAATAACATGGTCTTCCGTTGATCCTAGTCTCATCGAAACTGCGTTCATTCATTAAGGAAACCACGCAGAAGTTGAACCTCAAGTCGAATGAAAACTTTATATTAAAAAACAGTAAAATGAAAGCACAAATCGATTACAAATTCAAGTGTGGGTCGAGTCCAAAGGTTATAGACAGGAAACCGTGAGTTGTTTCGTTTTCTCGTCCTGCCTTAAACTTACTCCTGTCTTTTTCTTATATAGGAAGGATCTGCTGGTAAGAATCGTTCTGAAAACAGCCAAGGAACAATTCCAATTCCCAAAACAGTGTGTTCTCAAGGCCAATCATCTGTTCAAGAAAACCGATATGGTGCATATTTGACTTGCGAAATTGTGTGCTATAGGCGATTAAATTATTCTATACCAAGATCTACTTCGAGAACATGATACAAGATCGCAACAGTCCTCATCCTGTCAGCTTTTGCAGGAACGAAATGACAATCGAGCCTCAGCTCTTCAACAACGAGGAACTGAATATCGAAGGATATTGTTATGCTCCAACGGGTATTCAGAACAGTAAGCAATCGTACTCAATCTGCAGTATTGAAAGGGCTCTCATGTCCACGGTGGCTCTGATTTTCTACTTGGTAGTGAACGGAACAGAGTTGTCTTGGAATATTCCTTGGCAGAACTGGGGATTCGTAACTGGCCCACTGACAACGATGAGAGGATACTCCCTGTGCAAGGGATAGCGAGCTATTATGCATCGGAAGCGGGTATGGATCTTCATAACGGAATGTATTAGATCCGTAAAGAATATAGGGAGAGCTTACCCGAGATTGGTTAGAGCTGGCGGGGTGAGCACAATGGGACGGAGAGACAAGAGAATCCGTCAGCATTGAAAGAAACAACCCCACCTGTGAAGATGCTTAATTTATTCCGATTGACAGATTATAAAAGTATACCCATTATTCAAAGTTATGGCTTCATTGAAAGATTTTGATATATCCAAGTGAAGAGGTTCTTCGAAATTTTGTTCGCAAAAACATCGTTTAACAAGATACATACACCGTGAATTTGAAGGCTCATCCAAGCCGTCCGAGCTCCTCAGCCCTACACGTAATGAAAGCGGTGTCTCTACATTTCTAACCATTGTATCGTATGGGGCCAACTTATGGCCAACCATTCCTGAACTAGAGATATACTGACTACTGAGCCGCCGAGACTCATGTCATCACCAAAGAAAAGTGAAAATTACTAGCCCGAGTAGAGCTCCAGAAACTGTTGGCCATGGAAAACACCACACGCCGGTTTGCGCAGCGGTATTGGCATTGGCAGCTTGACCGGACCCACTGTTTCCATTTCCACTCGATGAGGGTGAGGGTGAGGAGGACGTTGAGGATGCTAGGGATGATGATGAAGGAGCTGAGGAGTTTCCGGTTGTATCCGTAGTTGTGGTGGTAGCGAGATATGTGCGGATGTAGGCAATATCCCAGTAGGCGTCGTTGTAAATCGGGTTTCCTGTCCCGATGACATTGTCGATCTGGAAGATGGAATTGGGTGTAGAAGGAAGGTAAAATCATATATGCAAGGAGGTGGCGCAAATGGATCGACAGAAGAGATAACACAAACGTGAAGTTAAACATTTAACGTATGCGGAAATCAATGAAGAGACTTACACATTGACCTGAGCATCCGGTCGAGTTGTAGATAGATGGTACGCCAGCCCTTGATGAAGAAAGACCATCCATGGTACCGGAATTGTCGAAAGAGAATCACTCACCAGACACCACAAAGAGTTATATCAAGAACGAGTTGTTGAGGCTGGAAATACTGCGAAATATTACAGGCAGTAGAGAGATACGCAGCTGTGGGTGTGCCCCAGTCGGTAAGGTTCATGGTCGAGGCACTATCAGCTTGGGATATTGATGCTGGTATGTTGGAACGCTGCGAATTCGAAACAATAATGGAATCAGACCGGTTAGAGATAGACTGTGAGGTTACTCACGGCCCAAAACCACATATATATCCCACTAACATCCAACTGTGTAGCAAAGACACCTCCACCAGCCTGCGCAAACCCACTCCCGAAACTGTTCGGTTTCGTCTCCTGTACCAAACACCCTTGTCCCGTTGAACAATCGGTCTCAATGGTGTTCCCTGTTTGACTTGAATTGGGAGCGAGGTAACATCCTGGAGTGGTATGAAGCGCGTATTGGTTGGAGTTGAGGTTATTGATAGCTTCTATGATGTCGATTTCACCACCGAGAGGCCAGAGGATATTGGTGCCGAGCATCCAGAATGAGGGCCAGACAGAACAGCCGTAAGGGATATGCGAAACATCGATGATTATGAGGCTTCCAATGGGATAGGCGTCCTTTGAAGTTATTTTAACCTAGAATTGCAACCGTTGAGAAGAATAAAAGACGAAAAGGAAAAAGATATGACTGACGCACCGAATTTCTGTTTACTGTTTGGGCGGCAGGTATATTTGTTGTGTTGTCTACTCGGATGATTGCATGTCCTGTACTCGAGTCGATGAAAGTCAAGCCCTGGGAGGTCCCAGTGCTCTGGTCGACATATGTGACGTTCCCTGGAATACAAATGAGGTACTTACTACTGCGCCACAATGAACAGCACTCACCCCAAGTTGTGTTATCAATGAAGCCGTAATAATCCCATTCCGAGAAGAAGTCGGTACCGGAATATTCACGGATCGGTGTGTATATGGCAGCAGAGAACCGGAAGAGTCCAGGTAGAAGGAGTAAGCCAGGTAGGAAACGAAGACGAAGTGGCATAGTAGGATGGTAAAGCAAAGCAAAGCGAAAAAAAAAAACATGAGGGTTTTATCTGCATCACAAACACGTTATCTCAAGCATGATCCCATCTTTGTCGATAGCCCGAAAGGGTGATAAGTCGAATAAATATAGTTTGAACATTTAGACCGTGTGGCAAACCAAACACCGTTGTAGGTCAAGTCATTTCGTTATGTAAATGGGCAGGGAGAGTGAAGGGAGCGAGTTCTTTGCTGTCCTTGAAGGCCTGCTTGGAACGATTTTGGAGCTTGGTACGTATGTAGATGCAAGCTTGAGACGGAAAAGACAAACCGAGGTGGGAGGGGTTCAACGCGTTCAGGCACCTAGAAAATCACCCAATTGCCGAAATTCCGTGGTCGGAGGATAAGTAGATATAACCAAAGCCGATGAACCTATCACTGGGCATATGGTGTAGGGGTTATCACGTTCGCTTTGCATGGTTGCATGCGAAAGGTCTCCGGTTCAAATCCGGATTTGTCCATTCTTTCGTTTCATTTTATTGAATTTGACTTTGGTTTGACCCTTTCCTTTTTGGTACGTAGTACCGTGCAAGTTTAACTCAGAGCTCAAGATAAAAACTTGCAGCAAACAGCTGCACGTTATGATAGCTGAGAACGAGTAAACTTGAAATGACGAGCTTTAAAAGAGTGTATACCAAAATGCTGAGGAAAGCAACGATGATAGATCAAAAGGAGAGCGTAGCGTATACAACTAGTGGCGCTGAGAACAATGCCTGTTGAAAATGGCAGGAAAGAGTTACACTGCGGGGATTGTACCATTTTCCCGCGGTGAAAAGGCTGATAATATGTTGAGTATATGTACAAAATTCCTGTAAATAATCTATTGCTGAATATTTTGAAAAACCTTTACAATTACCAAAAGGAGAGTATCAAGATAGTTATTTAAAAATCAGTCAGATATTCACCACCCGATTATTCATAAAAAGCACAGGATAAGGCCATGAGGCTTCTTCAGAATAATCTCGACGAGATTATTTGAACTAATTTAATATAATCCTGGTTTCATTGTTACCTACCATAATCTCAACAAGCTTACGTAGAAACCAGGATTATATTGAATAATCTTGTCGAGATTATTCTGAAGAAGCCTCATGGCCTTATCCTGTGCTTTTTATGAATAATCGGGTGGTGAATATCTGACTGATTTTTAAATAACTATCTTGATACTCTCCTTTTGGTAATTGTAAAGGTTTTTCAAAATATTCAGCACTAAATTATTTACAGGAATTTTGTACATAAACTCAACATATTATTAGCCTTTTCACTGTGGGAAAAAGGTACAATCCCCGCAGTGACTCATTTCTGTCTGTTGCAAAAAGCGAAACGTTCAACAAACCATGTTTTCTAGTATATCGATTGAAACTCAAGCTGAACATCGTCGAGTGGCATTACGACTTACAAAGTCTTTTTCCGATACACTTTTCTTGACAGTGAACACACCAGGATATCCCCAGTCGATAAGCTTCACTTTTTTGATTTTGCCTCCGTTAAAGGTGACACGGACGTTACCCGAGTGGAAATCACTGAAAAAAAACAATGAATGTGTTGTGAAATTGCGAAGATGATATTCATAACTCACGCATGAAGTATTCCTTTCTTTTTGACGTAATAATAAACTTCGTTTTGCAAGAGTTTCATGTACCGCTTTTCCATTTCTTTTTGTTCCTTTCTCGGAGCATTCTGATACTGCTCAGAATCCACTATATCCACCCCTTCCACGTAATTCATCACGATAACAGGCCTAAAGTCATAAGCCACTGGCCATCCATATTTCTTTCCGTAATCAAACTCATGCGAAGATTTCGCCGTGGCTTGGAGCGCTTTTACTTCGGCGTGGGCTTCCCACTTGTCCAATTCCTCATTCTTGAGGTAGCCTTTTGCAACGCCAATAGTTTGATCCTGGTCATCGAGCACATATGCAATTTTTGTTCTACTATATCGCTCTAAAACGCCGCCGTTGTCGTCGAGTCTGGGTGGTATGTCAGAGTTGGAAATTCTTGTATGGATAGGCAAGGTTTTCGCTATCACCCAAAGCAGGAGGTATCTAAGCTCAGCAAAATTTTCAAAATACAGGTTACTGAAATAAAGACTCACTAAAAATGTTCCTTTTGTAGTCAAGATCCTCGCCATATACCCCCAGAATCCACGACCGCTTGTGAAGCGCTTGCATTAACTGGACAATCGAACGCCCTAAGCGGACAACGACTCACATCGTGTTCCTTTAGAATGTCGGCCTTTGAATAAATGCCTGGAACATTTCGAGCCTCCAGTTGGAAATTCGTCACATTCTGAGAAGCTGTTGGTGCGGCATGCGTGAAAGCCGGAAAGGTGATACAGAGAGAGGCAATTAGAGGGAGAATCAAGAATGAACGAGTCATCAAAGGCCTGCTTTGAGCTTGGTTTATAATCGGTTCAGCACTAGGACGGTAAATGGGAAAAAAGCAGGAAAAAAAAACTTGAATTTAATCTGGTCAAAAAGGTTTATTTGAAATTGACTCCGTCGGGATAAGAGATATATTGCTTGAAGGGTCTTCTTCCCTGCACCGTGCCAGCGCTACGACGGTACTTTCAACTTGAAGAGAAGACCCGAAGATGTTGAGCCTTGCTGATCATGGACATCTAAAATAATAATATTCAATGGTACGGGTCATGAGTATCTGAAAAGCCAAGAAATAAGTTTCAATTGAGCTAGAGCGAATGTCTTTAGGCGTAGATTTTTGAATAATGAGGAACAGGAAACTGGGTGGTGGAAATACAGCCTTGCAGAGGCAAATGAGAAACTCCAAATTCTTAGGACGCAACGTAGCAGGTTCGAAAGTCAGAAAAGGTTGAAGAAAAGTCTGCACTTCATAGGTGCAGTCAAATACATTCTAGCGGAGATTAACCCAAAATATTGAGTGGGTGTAAACAGAGTACAGAGAATCATTAGTAGACAGTCATCGAAAGGAGTTGATAGCGCTCGAGGTATGCCGCAGCCGGCATTTGATATTTGTCCAATCCAAACAACCGCACGTTCCAAGACGACATTGACGATCTCCACTTACTCAAAGGACTCTGAATTACAAAACGAACGTTGAATGTACATACAGAGAAACTGATTTCAAAATCTCAATACACACCACTGTGAAGGACACCATGTCAGGAATGTTTGGTGGAGGAGGTATTAATCCATACGATGATATCGTTGGTAAGCTCCTCTCAATGAACAACTCTTATCCGTTCATTCAATGAATGCACAGCTAAAACAACGGACGAAAATTTAACAAGTGAAAACTGGGAGCTCATATTGAACTTGTGCGATAAAGTGTCAGATGAAGGTAACGAAGGGTACGTTCCATCGTCTTCTCACTCTCAGTGATTTACCAAGGCTTTTCTTCAGTGCCCGGCACGTTCTTTCCTCCCTTCTCAAACGGCTCTCTCATCGGAATCCGAACGTTCAGCTCTACACACTCTCCCTCGCCGATGCACTCTCCAAAAACTGCGGTCTTATTGTCAATCGCGAGATTGCTTCTCGTGCGTTTACTTCCGGTCTAGAGAAGCTGGTAACGGACAGAAACACACACGATAAGGTGAAGAAGAGAGCTTTAGGACTGATCAAGGAGTGGACAGAGGAATGGGAAGGACAGGATGAGCTGGGGATCATGGAGGAGTGTTATCTGGCTCTGAAAAAGAAGAGTGAGTTTTGAAATCCTCACCGTGCTTTTATCATTTTTATCTATGTCGATTAGATTACAACTTTGACGCGATCAACGAACTTCCACCGCCAGCGGTTGACGATGAAATTCGACGAAGGGAAGAGGAAGAGCTCCAGCGTGTACTGGAAATGTCGATGCAGGATCGAGGTGGGTATTCCTCCTCCTCCTGGGCTCAACCGAGTGGAGCCGGCTCGTCTAGCTCACAATCAAACGGTGCGAACCGGAATGGATACGTGCCTTCGGCGAACCCATCAGCCGCTTCTTCGTATGCTCAATCCCCTGCGACTACCACTACGACTACAACAAACTCGACATCAAATGAGCCAGCTCGTGGAACAGCCGGAATAATCTCGAGCCTAGGTTCGATGACCATTGGGTCCAGTACTTCTCTCAATTCAACTTTGAGCACGACTAAACGTTCAAACCGTGTACGTGCTCTCCATCCGTTTACCCCAACTGAACCAGGTGAACTCGCCTTTTCTGCCGGAGATATCATCACTGTCGTCGATCGTAATTATAAAGACTGGTGGCGTGGTCAACTCCGTGGTCGAACTGGTATCTTTCCAGTCAACTACGTCGAAGTTCTCCCACCTCCTGATGAAGCTGAACTGGCTCGCGAATCTCAGCAAGAGGCAGCTGTGTTTGCTGAAGCGACAAACGTGGAGAGGTTATTGGAGATGTTGAGGGATTTGGATCGGCAGCAGCAGGAGTATAATAACTCACGAGCCCAGTCCACACCGCCAAGTAGACTGGCTGATAACGATGAGCTTCAAGAGCTCTACCGATCCTGCATGGCACTTCGCCCGAAGATAGTCAAACTTATCGAGAAGTATAGCCAGAAGAGAGCGGATCTGGTATCGATGAACGAGACCTTTGTTCGGGCACGAGGCATCTTTGAGAGGTTGATGGAGGAGAGTCTGGCTGGGTACGGAGGAGGAGGAGTGTATCCCCCTAATGTTTATGGTGGTGGGTATCCGACTGCGGGTCCACTTTCGCCGTCGTCGTACGGTGCACCTCAGCTGGGCTATCACCCGACTCCGACGCCTGGTCCTTATCCTCAGGCGTATCCTGGTCCAGTGCAAGGACCGGTACAGGCACCGACAGCTAGTTCGCCCGTGCTTGAGGGTGTAGTTCCTCCCGGCGTTGGACCGGGGGTTACTCAAGGCGTAGTCGGCCAAGGGCAGCAACCTATATCTGCCTACGAAGCATTATACGGACAACGTGGGTCTCAGCAGCAGGGCGGGAGGTATCCGTTCCAGGGTCAAGGAACCCCAGGCGTACTGGGCTTGCAGGGACCCGCTGGTCAAGGAGTACACGTATCGGCACTGCAGGCGTATCCTCAACAACAGCCTCAGCCTGGACAGACACAGCAGGCGCAAGCTCAACAACAACCACAATTGGCGGTTCAACAGACTAATACGCAGTCGCTACCTCAAGCTCAACCGTCTTCTCAACAATCACACCAAGTTCAACCACGACCCGCTCAGCAACAACAATCTCAACCTCAGCCCCAACCTGCTCAACAATCCTCTTCGTCTCCTTCTGGCCCACCACCATACATCTATTCTCCAACTACGACCTATCCTGACCCGAACGTTCAAGCGTGGGCGCAATATTATGCCCAGGGAGGGAAGGACTCAACCGGTGCAGTTTATTTCGTTAGTGTTCCGGGAGTGAAGGAACCTCCCGAGGGAACTCTTGCTGTGGAGCAGAGGAGAGATCAAGAAGCGCAAGAGGTCCACGGCGTACAGCAGACGGAGCAGGTG